TGCTGATGTCACTAGCGGCCGCCTCTTTCCGGGTTGCCAAGTCCTCTTTGCTGACAGCCACGAGAATGGCCTTGATCTTGTCCACCATGTCAAGTGGCCTCACAAACAAGTCGATGTTGCACGGCAAGTAGGTTTTCTCCTCGTCAGTAAGCTTTGCAAGTCGCTCCTGAAGATCCTCACGTGTGATGTTCTTCTCCAAGACAGCGCTCAAGACATTGAGTCGCACTTCTGCAAGCGCCAAGAAATGCTTGTAATCCTCACGGCTGTTGTCAGCAAGGAAGGCTTTGATGCTGTCATTGGCGGTTTGCAAAGTGGACTCCCACATCTTCCTATCCTTGTTCAAGGTGTTGAGGACTTCATCATACTTCTTGGGCAACATCTGCGGCAGCCTTGGGGTTTGCTGGCTTTGGGTCACCAGACGATGCTGGCGGCTGTCCTTCAAGCCCTCCACGCGCTTTTCCTGACAAGGTTGGCACAGTGTCAGGCACCCGCACAGCATGGCCACCATTGAGGAGGAACAGCGAAGAAGTTTTGCCAGAGTAGTCCCCAATGCGCAATCGAGGATCATCCCAACCTGGCAAGTGGGCCTGAATCTGCTCATCTAGGGCCTCAATGTCCTTGGCACCAGGCTTATTCTTTTGCTTGGTTCCAGCCAGTCTCTCATTCGCAACTCCGGAGATGTCTTCTTTCTTGATGTAATCACCAGCAGGGCAATGAAGTCGCAATGGGCTCTGCTTCGGGCCAAGCTGATCTCGCTCAACCTCCGGGTTGGCCTCCATGCGCTGCCATTCGGAGTGCGCTTCCTGCCTGGGCCAAGAAGATAAAGCTCATACTCACAAAGCGCAAACAGAAGAAACTTCTTCACAGAGCTTAAGGCTTAAGGGGAAGAAAGAGAGGGAGGACAGAGGAACGGAGGAAGACAGAGGGAAGAGAGTGTCTTGCGATAGCCAATCAATTGCAGCAAAGCATTCTTTCACTGGGACCCCAAAGCATGCATACCTTCGTGGGGCTAATATGGTATTTTGGGTCTATGAAGGCCAATGTAATATAAGTGCACAACCTGGTATGTTAATCTAGCCAAGATACCAGCTCTTAAACTCTTCTTCTTGGGAATGCTTCATCCACTTCTCGTAACACATGGGCTTCAACTTGTGGCCCTTGGTGAGCTGCTTCTGTGCATAGACACGCTGCTGATACGTCACCCAGTCAAACCTGTCCCTTTTGCATCCAGGACCCTTGGATGCACATTGTGTGATGTACTCGTACAGCATTTTTCTGAACAATTCAGCGCTTGCTGCTTGCTCGTTGAAGAACGCAATGTTGCCACTTTGTTCCGCGTCCCGCTTACACGCCTCTGCGTCTTTTTGTGGTCCGCACAAAACCTGCTCTTGCAATAACACTTCTTATCGCACAGCAAGCATCTGGACAAGTCCACAGGGCATGCGCTGATGAGCACTGTCGCATCCTTGGAGTCCTTCTCTTTTTGGGACCTGGATTTCCTTCGAGACCATGGTGATTGCGGGGGTGGCATGTCGTCTGCAACCCCTGCTTCTGACTCGTCGAACTGCATGTCCGGCATCTCCGAACTCTCGGTCATGGCTGCAAATATTGATTTGTATGGTCACTCGTTCAAGGCAACTGGAAAACTTTTGAACATGGCGCAAACAAGCAGCAAGCATAACACTGCATCAAGTCATGCAAGCATGGCAAGACAAGCGACGCATTCAATCGACCAACATGCCAACCAACAACATGACATCGCGCCAGCATACAATGACGTCAATGTTTCGGTGGCAAGCAACATCAATCGCACGAGAGCTGGGCCACAATCTGAAGCTGAGGCTACGGTCTGCATCCGAAGATCACCGCAAGGATCAGGAAGAAACCTCAACACAAAGTGAATTTGAATTATACTTGCAACAATGTGATCATGAGTTCATCGCAGACATTGCTCACTTTCAGCTCACTGTTGCAACCCTTCGCTCTGTGTGGTGAAAGTTGGGACATGGTGTGCCAGCATGCATGAAGGCATGAATTTATGTAAATCAAGGTCCATCAAAGACAAGCAACAACCAAGGTCCAGGCACGACACACCATGTCAATGGCAACAGCGATTGAGACAGGAACCTGGCATCAGAGAACAACTTGGGCTATTGTGTAGCTCAACATTATTGAGAGAATGCTGCAACATGAGTGTATGAGTACATCCAAGTGAAGACAGAGCACAAGCGCATTACCCACAGACAACACAAGCTCACAGCTGCCCAACATCCTAAATCGCATCAAGCTGATTCTATAACACAACCTGCCACCTTGTCAGGAGCATGCACAACCACCCAAGCAGCCGATGCACTTGCCTGCTGGAAATTGAGGAAGCTCACCACCAGAGATCCTGCAAGAGAAGGATTCAGGGTTTGCAAGGCAAGCAGCAATCGAAATCCAGAGATTGGGGGCGATTGGGGATTGATTGAAGAAACCATGCCATCCCAGAAATTCTGAAAAGCACACCTGATCTTGTTAATTGCCGCGATCAAGCCCCAAGAAGCTATTTGCAAAGGATTTAATGGCACGAAGCCCCACGAAGGTCCACGAACATGCCCCCCCAACCCACGAAGCCCCACGAAGGTTGCACGAAGCCCCACGAAGCCCCACGAAGCCCCACGAAGCCCCACGAAGCCCCACGAAGCCTCACGAAGGCCCATGAAGCCCCACGAAGCCCCACGCAGGTCCACGAAGGTCCAGGTAACAAAGCGCCTGTAGTTGGAATGCACCTTTTCCGAGTTTTGCTGGAAGCGCTCAAAGCACGTCAAAGTCAACTTCCTCCACCTTGGCCACGCCGTCCGAAGAATTGCCATGCCCTGCAGCCTTTTTTGGCGGCGCCGAGCTTTTCACAGCCTTTGGCACACCATGCTTCGCCACCGCCTTGGCCTTGCTGACCTTTGGCTGCTCGCTCTTGGCCTTGTGCACCTTCGGGTCGATCTTGGGCTTGCTCTGGATGAACCCCTTCCACCGCGGCCCCTTCCAGTTTTCGCACGCTTTGCCTCTCCCTTCGCCTTCGGTTTTGGTTTTGGCACGCTACGTTTCCTGGCAGGCTTAGTAGCAGGAAGATGCTCATTATCTGTTGGGGGGCGATTGACATCAGGCACACTGTGGTCGAGAACATCAGTGTCCGGAATCTCACCCAAACTCATGCTGGCAATGCGGCGCTTCAACTGCTGGTGCTTCTCATGTGTACTGCAATCATGCTCAAAGCCTTTGATGATAAAGTACTTCATCCTTCTGATCAAAGCAAGACGGTCCTCCTCAGTCTTGTAATTGCCAGAATATGTGCGCAACACACTTTCGCTCCATTCTGCTTCACTCGAACATGCGAGCGCCGAACACAATCTACCTGCAATCCCCCCTTTTGTGATGCTTGAAGGAAACACATTCCCAAACAAACGAATCAAGCAGTTTGAACTTGCCTCGCCTCGCTGCGCTGCCGATGTGGCAGCCACCACTTCTGCATCCTGAATGTTCCTATCTTCACCTGCAACATCCATCTCGAAGTCTGTTCGAAGGAGCCTCTGAGGTTCACGGGACAACAAAGCACTATAATATTTGTCATTCGCCCCATGCTGCACACTCTTGACATCATGCTCCCTGAGAAAAGCTCGGAACTCGCTATTCTGTTGAATCTCCAGCAGCACAGCCAAATACTTGCGGTTTACACGCTCAGCTCTAGCTGACTTCAAGATGCGCTTTGCAGACGCAGCAGGAGCACCAGCCGTGATTGTCAAATTCTGCATATCCTTTGCCCCCTTCATGCACCTTCCACCCAGCTGCAAACAACGAGTGCAATATGGTAAAGGCAGTCTGCTTGCTTGGCTCCTCTGTAGAATTTGTTGGAATCAATGAACGAGGGTTCTTCAGGGTCCTGGCAAAAGAAACCACTCGCATCGCTGCTTGAAAAAGCTGGTAACCAGACCTGGGAGGCAAGGAGGTATGAGGCACAAGCTTTGCACGCACAAACCACACACAAACATAACATAGCTTAAGTGAACATCAAAAGTAGGGCTGAAGCAAACTAGGCGCAGGGTGGCAATGTGAGTAAACAGCGCGCCGTCATACTGCTTGAAAAGAGAAATCTCATCCAGCGCACAATCTGCTTCGTCAATCACAAATGATGTCTTCGGCAGGGCTTTGCACGCAACTGCACGGTCAAGCAAGTCCATGACA